GACATAGAAGATGGAACAGACTGACAAACCTCAGGGAAGACCGTGAAGGGTGGGTGGGTGAGAAGAGATCAATCAAAAAACATGTATGCATATATGCATAATCCATGGACACAGACAATAGGGGGCGGGCTAGAAGAGGTCAATGGAGGTGAAAAAAGGGGACATGTGAAATACTTTCAACAATAAAGATTTGGAAAAGAAAAAGAACATAATACTCTGGCATATTTCAGAATGGTTTTCCTCCCCTCCCTCTGCCAGGAGCATAAAGCAATTTTTTCAGATATTCACTGTGAAGAATTCATAAAAATCCTGCAAGTAAAATTCAGAAAAATGCCCCCCACCCCTGATGATAGGCTCTTCTTAGAGTCTTTAGCTCTCAGACTTGTCCACTCTCAGCTTTCAGCAATTAATTCATCAACTGTAGTTGAGGTTTCCCTACCCCAGCACAGTTTCCCATGAGGTTTTTGCTCCTATACATTGTGATTATTGTATCCACCTGTCTGTCTCTCCAATATTTGGGGCAGCAGTTTGCCCTGTGACCTCACTTTTCTGATGGATATAAGAAGAGTTCCAGATTCTTTAGTCTGTTCAACTTCTTACTAGTTATGATGAAACTAGAGGCCAGGTACATGAAATTCGTGCATTTGTGGGGGGAGCCTTCAGCCCAGCCTGCACCCAGTCCAGGAGCCCTCAGGAGATGTCCAGTTGACGGCTTAAGCCCGATCCCCACGGGGAGCGGGCCTAAGCCGTCAGTTGGACATCTTCAGCACTGCCGTGGAGGCAGGAGTCTCCCACCACCGCTGCTGCACTTGCCAGCCATGAGCCCGGCTTCTGGCTGAGCGGCGCTCCCCCTGTGAGAGCACACTGACCACCAGAGGGCAGCTCCTGCATTGAGCATCTGTCCCCTGGTGGTCAGTGCGTGTCATAGTGACTGGTCATTCTGCAGTTCAGTCAATTTGCATATTAGCCTTTTATTATATAGAATGCTGACTCCTAGGGCACTTATGTGCCAGACTGGAAACAGGAAGTCCTCCAAACAACTCTGTTTTCATAATAATATTTCTTTGGTTTATATAGTATTTAATTAAGTGATATATAAATAAGTATGACTTAGGGTTAAGGAATTGACTTAGTAAATATGTGACTCAAATCATGAGAGTAAAAATAGATGAGTATATTAGAAACTAAACTATTCATTGAGAGTATTTAGTGTGCTATGGGCATTATTTAAGTCAAGAATTTTTACAGAAGGAATAGAGAATTGACAAACCCAGCAAGTTAGTTGAATGGAGATCAACTATGAGAAATTATACATATGTTCATGTGGCTGAACAATAATCCAATCTATTGTAGCATCCCTTCAAAAACTAACCATAAAATCAAAAAGGAACTGCTATGTATTGATACTACTAAAATAAATGAACAAATATAAATTATCAAATGAATACATAAGGAAAATGAAGAATTTAGATAACAGGTTAATTGTCCATGAGAGCAGTAGAAAATGTCAAAATTTTCTCTTAACACTTAGAAACCAAATTAAAAAGAGCTAAAAATAATATAATATCAGATGAAAGATAGGAAAAAAAGAAAGTGAGTTCTCTAGATTTTAGGGGGAGAATGGGGATTAAAATAAAAATCATAAATAAGTGTCCCATTAGAACAGGCATATGAAAGACATAATGGAGGAAAATGACACAAAATAACATGTTTTAAAAATCAAAGACAAATATATAAAAGAAAAAGTGATATACAAAATCCATTGTATACATTATTATTGTTTCTGAAGAAGAAACTGTTACAAGAAAAAAATCAAAGATAGACTAAAACTGCTGAAATGAAAGTAGTACTTCAAAAAACTGAAAGGACATGTATTTTAGGAACAGCTGATCTAAAATAATGTTTTTTACTGGAAAATATTGAAGTTCAGAGTCAATGTGATCTTGGCCTTTCCCTTGTGATTTTCCATAGTCATAATATATATTAATAAATCTTCAAATATGTCAAGATACCTATAAGAAACTATTATTGGTAAAGAAATTCTACCATTTGTTAGATCAAAAGATGGGTAGGGAACTTCTTTCCAACTCCTTGATTCTATCAATCTTAGTCTGTGTCATCCTTCTTATAGGGCTTCAATGAGAATAGTTTCAGAAAGCAAATGCAACTGTACAGGTATACACTTATGTTTAGTTTATTCAAAAAAGTGCACTGAAGTCAACTAGCCAAGAATAATTGTTACTTCTATAGAAGTCAGCCTTTCCAGTGAATAGTAACATCTGTATATACTAGAGCAAACACTTGGCAAAAAAATCAACTGGTATAACATTACCTTTCTGTACCTGCCCCAAATGAGTTTTGTCAAATACACAGGCTTAGGATGACTTCTCAAATATTTATGTGTCATGCCCCCAAGAAATTGGCACTAATTCTGTGTCACATTTTCATACAATATTTTTGGTAAATTGGAAAATAACAGAGATTAGCTGTACATTTGAGTTCTCTTTTTTTAGAAAAATGGTATAGCCAAAAAAATGAATGCATATTTTATCAAAGAGAAATGTATATGTGACATTCTCCTCCTTTGGACTAAATGGAAGTCAATAAGAAAATGACTTAATAGAAAAGTATTAATTCTCTACTACATTTCAGGAATGTGCATAAGGGCAGCCTGAGGATAGTTATAAAGAATACTAGTAGCCCTGCGCACGAATCCGTGTGCCAGTAGGTCGCTGCCTCCCTCCTGTAACTCCCCCCACCCCTCCTCATAGCTTGTTGCCCTGCCCTCTCCTGTAGCTCTCTGCCTCCCACTTGCTTGCTGCCCTGCCCCATCCTGTAGCTCTCTGCCACCCACTTGTAGCCAGTAGGTCACTGCCACCCTCCTGTAGCTCTCTGCCCGCTGCCCTCCTGTGGTTCCTCCCACCCCCTTCCCCCTCCCCCCTTCATAGCTTGCTGCCCTGACCCTCCTGTAGCTCTCTGCAGCCCACTTGTACCTCACTGGCCCACCCTCCTGCTGATCCGTGATCTGGTCTTGATGTGCTTGGTTATTACGCCTCAGGGCGTAACAGCTAATTAGCATATTCCTGGCCCACCCTGCTGATCCGTGATCTGGTCTTGATGTGCTTGGTTATTACGCCTCAGGGCGTAACAGCTAATTAGCATATTCCTCTCTTATTATATAGGATATGTGTTTGCACTAGAGGCGTCTGCAGTATGACTGGGGTGGTTGGTACTAACAAATCTGTTTGCAAAAACACTTTTCCAAAGATAAGGAAAAGTGATGTAAAAATGTCCAGTGAGTACACCACCACCATTTATATCAAACTACACAAGAAACTAGGACTGTTTTCTTATCTTTGATTCCCCAGAGGTCTTGGTAGAGGGCCTTGCACATTGGCCCCCAGTAGGTGTTGAATGCTAAGTGAATAATTATGTGCTCAGACACTGATTCCTGAAGGTACAACAGAGAGTATACTCATTTAGGGTCAGGATGAACCCAGAAACCATCTATGCTTTTCACAGGTGACAAGGGTCATGCACTTTCTAAGATGCAGAGATTAGAAGCCCATGACTAAATCCTGAAATTACTCCACTTCTTATTCTGTTTTTCGGTGACAACATACAGGCTAAGTCCGCTTGGAGTCCTGGAGGCTGATAACATAAATGGAGTTTGCCAGACAGACCTAGTCCACCCCTGTGCATCAGAGAATCTAAGTCCTTACGAAATTCTTCCTAATCCTGCCACTAAGTTCTTGATTCAAGTCATCCCCACCTTCGAATACCACATTCCTTAGGAAGAAAATATGAGATTGCACCACTCCACCTTCCCACTCCTATATTACAACTAGAGGCCCGGTGCATGAAAATCGTGCACTGGTGAGGGTCCCTCAGCCCGGTCTGCGCCTCTCGCAGTCCGGAACCCCTTGAGGGATGTGTCTGCTGGCTTAGGCCCAATGCCCCCAGGGATTGAGCCTAAGCCAGCAATCAGACATCCCTCTTGTAGTTCGGGGCTCTCGCCATTCAAGACCCCAAGACCTCTCACTCCTTACCGCCCACCTGCAGCAGAGGCAGGAGAGGCTCCTGCCACCACTAGAACCCCTTGAGGGATGTCTGTCTGCTGGCTTAGGCCCAATGCCCCCAGGGATTGGGCCTAAGCCAGCAATCAGACATCCCTCTTGCAGTTCGGGGCTCTCGCCATTCAAGACCCCAAGACCCCTCACTCCTTACCGCCCACCTGCAGCAGAGGCAGGAGAGGCTCCTGCCACCACTGCTGCACTCGCAAGCTGTGAACCCAGCTTCTGGCTAAGTGGCACTCCCCCTGTGGGAGCTCACTGACCACCAGGGGGCAGCTCCTGCATTGAGCGTCTGCCCCTAGTGGTTAGTGTGAGTCATAGTGACTGGTCATTCTGCCGTTTGGTCGATTTGCATATTAGAGTTTTATTATATAGGCTAGTTACAATACACAGAGATGCCATTCCATTGTTTCTTAGCAAATGCCCACCTCAACCATCCCAGACAAGTTGGATTGTTAAAAATGCTGCAGAATGACTCTACTTTACTCTCACTCTCAAGAGTTTTTCCCTTCATTCTAATGAAAATTCCCTTTTTTACTGTTTGATAGTGGCAGGAAATTGGGCCAAATAACCTCTTAAATGCATTGCAACTTTAAGATCTCAAAGTTATAATATTTTCTGTTTATAGTATAACTTCTAAAATAGGTGCTTTTATTTTCCCAAATGAGTCAGATTCTTTCAATGATTTCTGGGGTTAACCTGTGGTGTCGGGAGGGAGCTCTGTGTCTGTGGGGCTTTGTGTATATACTTGTTTATTCTTCAACTATAGAAACTATTTTCCATGCCTAGTCAGCTAAGCCAAGCTAAAGGTATTTCCCTGAAAATGTACATATAACTACCAAGTATTATAACATTGTTATTTTTATAATTACTCCATATTAGAAAACTCCCCAGTTTAATAATTTAATTTTATATTATTTATTACAGGACAGGATAAGAGAAAATGATAGCAATTGCCTGAATAATGAACCTAACTTTTTTAAAAAGCATTCATGTGATGATGATAAGGTAATGATAATTATTTGGAGTTTGTATGTCATTCGAGCTTGATTACATAGAAGCTTATATGCTTTTGTATCTGTTAGATAATTATATTGATTATATTAATAACTTATTCTTTTGGCTCTAAGCAGGCAGTTCCCATTGATCTATTAAGTCGTGCTGTGGTGTTCTTTTATACTCTTATTTTACAAATAGTCCTGCAGTTATTTGATAAATATGTTTACTTTAGCATTTCATTTTTCACTTATAAAATTCTAGAACTGTTGAATTCAAAGAGACACACATCTCTTATTTCTGAAATCTTTATGAAGGAAAACGCTTGTTAGGGCATAATTTAGTTGTAGGCATTTAGAAATTGTTTTCTTTTAATATTTGCTAATCTTCACACCACTACAACTTCTAGTTGGTGTAAAACTTTCAACAAATGCTTGTGTGATTTCTTTCCACAAAAACCAGTGTGGTATTCAACAGTCGTTTTAAAAAATAATAGCTGAGTTAACCTTATGGCATCTAATAGTCTATAGTCATAAGTTCTTATTTTTAAAATTTCTATAATTACAGTGTGATTTGTTTTAGGTGAATATGACTCTTCATTTTCCTATTACCAGCTACTCATCCATAGCTCAAAATGTACAACATAATAACAATAAGAAAACCACACATACCTTTCATTATCGTTGCTTCCAGAAGACCTCTCCCTTGGTTATCTTGCTTAAACTTAAATAAACTTGTTATGTGTCCACCCACAAGTGGTAAGATCATACATACATTACAGAGAAAGAGAATTTTAAAAGCTAATCATTAAACTGAGTTCCAGGCCCTTCAGGCTGTCAGCTTCTAGGCCACCGTTTCAGTCCAGTTACTTGTCAGTCATGTGATTAACTGGAAAAGAAAGCTGGGTGGAGGTGGGGTATTGCTTAGCAACAGGGTTCTGGCTTTAGGATCCTTAAGAAAGCTTTTCATTTCATAATATTTTATTTGAACCACAGCCCTTCTGATTTTTTTCTGTAATAGGAAGCTACGTTTTTAAAAACTGCTGCTCGCAAGTTGAAGCAATTTCTTAAAATGAATATCCATGAGGAATTCAAGCTCCACTTATCAATAGTTTCACAGGGCACATTAAAACTGTTGAACTGCACCAGGAAGGTAAGCTGAGGACTATTTACTTTGAACAAAAATATAAACTACTCCCTTTATAGTTTTATTAGAGATATTATCATTCTCTAATGATCCATTATCATAGAAGTCTAAGTGCTTATAACTTAAACTTGAAATACATTTACTCAACTCTGGAAGAGGAAAATCGCAACTTGAAAATACCTATTTGTCTCTTGGCTAGGGCAAATCAATAGTTTTAAAAGGGGAGTAAAAGTGAATGCATATTTCATTGCCTTAACAACTTTCAAGGAGGCTAGTGTGATAAGTGGGGTGGGGAAAAGTAAATTTTTGTCACTAAAACCTATTAATATTTTTAATCCACATATGTATAGATTTATAAAAATTCATAGCAAATAAAACAGGTAAAATGTATTTAACAAATATCTTTCTCATTAACACTGGGCATATACACTGAGTGGCCAGATTATTATGACCACCTGATGTTTGTAGGCAAATTAGCCCTACACTGCATCGTATTGGATATGGAAGCCAAAGGCCTGTTCGAACACCTTTGCTGTCTGCTGTTACCAAGATAAAACATCTCCAATTCGCACAGGAACACAAGGATTGGACAGTCAAGCATTGGAAAAAAGTCATGTGGTCCGATGAATCACGTTTCCAGTTGCATCATGCAGATGGTAGAGTGAGAATTTGGCGGAAACAGCATGAAAGCATGCACCCCACATGCATGAGTAGAATCCCGCAGTATTGAAGGCAAAAGGTGGCCCAACGAAGTACTGATGGGGTGGTCATAATAATCTGGCCACTCAGTGTATATGACCAATAATTTTCTATTTATTTGTTTCAATAATTTTGATAAGTATAGGGCTAATTTTTCCCTACTGCCTGCTAGCGGTTGTTAAGCAAACAAAACAAAACAAAAATGGAAAAGATTATCTTGAGTGTAGAAAGTTTCTTAATCTTTAAAATGAAGGGAAAATAATAGTATACATTATAGGCTATTGAAGATTAAATGGCATAACTCATATAAAATGCTTAGGATCAAAAGGTTTCAATAAGTGTTATATTATTATTACAATTAACCTCCTCTTCAGGAATTTTACCAGCTGCCACACAAAGCCAAAAGGTTTCTTATGATTTTTTAAAAGAAAATTTTTAGGATAGAAAAAGGGTTGTGTGTTATTTTTTAATACCAGTAGTTGCCCACAGCTCAAGTGGTAAAACTGTTTTTGCGCCCTACTGGTAGTGATAACAAAGATGACGTAAGTTGAACCAGTTCCCTTATCATGTGTTAGGTACACAATGCCAGCCAGTCTCCTCCTGGTGTCCTGGGTTTGCCAAGCTTATTTCCCATTTTGTCCCTTTACTTATGTTAGTCTCTTTTCTATAATTCTGATCTGCCCTGTTCTACATCCTTCAAGGCCACACTCAAGATTCATGAAGACTTCATAGTCTAGCCTACCAGCTCTTAATCCTTATTCATAGTGATATCAAACTACTGTCTAATGCAAGAAAGTCCAATAGGTTCATTGTTGCTTACACATCCAAATGATTAGCAATGCCTGTTGGAAACACCATGTTGTGTATTAGCCTCAAGTCAAGGCTCAACTGAAAAACTGCAAACAAACTAGTGATATCACCTCTTCTCCTAGGAAGGGTAGGGGTTATGGGTATGCTATGTATTTGCAGTTCCTTCTCTCATGTGCTGAGCTTTACATGGATCACCATGTTCCAAAATCAACTAACTGTCAAGAAGGAAAACACAAATGATTTATTCTTGAAATTAAATAAAATTATGTCACAAAACTAACTAACCTGATACAATCTGCATTTTTCTTAAAATGACAAGGTAAGATATTAAATACAGTCAGCTACATTGACTTTTCTTCGTGAGTCAGGTCTGCATGAACTATTGATTATTTCATTTTGCTTCTGATAGATAAAGCACAATAAAATGTATGGTCAGGATTTCACAATTTAATGATGACTTTATTTTCATATTGATTAAAATTCTAGTGTTGTTTGTTACTATACCCTTCTGTATTAGGTTTTTCACTTTATTTATTTATTTATTTATTTATTTAAATTTATCTTTATTGTTGAAAACATTGCAGATGTCCCTCCCCCCCCCCCCACCCCCCGCCCCAAACATGTCCTCTGGTGAGGATTACAACATAAAATAGAATAGAATAAGATAAAATATAAAATAGATAAAATAAAACAAAACATAGTTAAACATTGCAGATGTCCCTCCCCCCACCCCCACCCCCCCATATATTAGTTTTTCAGCCTCACAGCCATTAAGACAGTGCTGGGCATACCTGCAGGATTCAGGGCATTCAGAAGATAATTTCTCTTGTTTCTTCCTTTTCCCTCATCCTCATACAGGCATACCTCGGAGATTTTGTGGGTTCAGTTCCAGACCACCCCAAAAGAGCGAGTCACTGAATTATTTTTTGTTTCCTAGTGTATATAAAAGTCATGTTTACACTACATTGTAGTCTATTAAATGTGCAATAACATTATGCCTAAAGATGTACATGCCTTAATTTAAAAATACTTTATTGCGAAAAAATGCTAAACATCATCTGAGCCTTTGTGAGTGGTAATCTTTTGCTGCTGGAGGGTCTTGTCTTGATGTTGATAGTTACTGACTGATGGGGGTGTTGCGGTAGGTTGAAGAGGCTGTAGCAATTTCTTAAAATAAGACAACAATGAAGTTTGTCACATCAACCGACTCTTTCTTTCATGAGTGATTCCTCTGTCCCATGTGATGTTGTTTGATAGAATTTTACCCACATAGAGCTTCTTACAAAATTGGAATCAGTCTTCTCAAATCTTGCTGGTGCTTTATCAACTAAGTTTATGTCATATTCTAAGTCCTTTGTTGTCATTTCAACACTCTTCACAGCATCTCCACCAGGAGTAGATTCCATTACTTAACCCTATGGAGCAACTTCTCAGCCATTAAGGCTTTGTCATGAGATGCAGCAATTCAGTCCCATCTTCAGGCTCCACTTCTAATTCTAGTTCTCGCCATTTCCACTGCATATGCAGTTCGCTCCTCCATTGAAGTCTTGAACCCCGAAAAGTCATCCATGAGGGTCAGAAACAACTTCTTCCAAATTCCTGTTAATGTCGATATTCTGACCTTGTCCCATGAGTCATGAATGCTCTTACTGGCATCTGGAATGGCGAATCCTTTTCCAGGTTTTCCATTTACTTGCCCAGATCCATCAGAGGAATCACTATCTATGGCAGCTACAGCCTTTTGACAGGTATTTCTCTTTTTTAAAAAATATATTTTATTGATTTTTTACAGAGAGGAAGGGAGAGGGACAAAGAGTTAGAAACATCAATGGGAGAGAAACATCTATCAGCTGCCTCCTGCAGGAACTGGGGATGTGCCCACAACCAAGGTACATGCCCTTGACCGGAATCAAACCTGGGACCCTTCAGTCTGCAGGCCGACGCTCTATCCACTGAGCCAAACCAGTTAGGGCTTGACAGGTATTTCTTAAATAATAAGACTTGCAAGTTGAAATTACTCCTTGTTCCATGGACTGCAGAATGGATGTTAACAGGTATGAAAACAACATTAAACTTGTTGTCTAGTTCCATCAGAGCTCTTGGATGGCCAGGTGCATTGTCCATGAGCAGTCGTATTTCAAAGGGAATCTTTTTTCCTGAGCAGTAAGTCCTAACAATTGGCTTAAAATATTCAGCAAACCGTGTTGTGAACCGATGTGCTGTCATCCAGGCTTTGTTGCATTTAAAGAACACAGGCAGAGTAGATTGAACATAATTCTTAAGGGCCCTAGGATTTTCAGAATGGAAGCTGAGCACTGGCTTCAACTTAAAGTCACCAGCTACATTAGCCCCTAACAAGAGAGACAGCCTTTGAAGCTCTGAAGCCAAGCATTGGCCTTTCCTCTCCAGCTGTGGAAGTCCTAGTTGTCATCTTCTTCCAAATGAGTGTGTTTCATCCACATTGAAATCTGTTGTTTAATGCAGCATCTTCGGTAATGATCTGAGCTAGATCTTCTGCATAGCTTGCTGCAGCTTCTACACCAGCATTCGCTGCTTCAGCTTGCACTTATGTTATGGAGAGGACTTCTTTCCTTAACCTCATAAACCAACCTCTGCAGCTTCAGACTTTCCTTCTGCAGCCTCCTCACCTCTCAGCCTTCATAGGATTGAAGAGTTAGGGCCTTGCACTGGATTAGGCTCTGGCTTGAGGGAATGTAGTGGCTTGACCCTCTTTCTCCAGATCAGCAATAAGGCTGTTTGGCTTTCTTATCATTCATCAGTTCACTGGAGTAAGCACTTTTAATTTCCTTCAAGGACATTCCTATTGCTTTCACAATTTGGCTAACTTTGGAGCAAGAGGCCTAGCTTTCAACCCATCTTGGCTTTCGACATGCCTTCCTCCCTAAGCTTACTCCTTTCTATCTTTTGATTTAAAGGGAGATATGCAACTCTTCCTTTCACTTAAACCCTTAGCGGCCATTGTAGGGTTAGTAATTGTGTCTCAGGGAATGACGAGGCCCAGGGAGAGGGAGTGAGATAGAGGAATGGCTGGTCAGGACACTATTTATCAGTCAAGTTCACCATTTTATACGGGTACAGTTCATGGCGCCCCACAACAATTGCAATAGTAACATCAAAGATCACTGATAACAGATCACCATAACAAATATAATAATGGAAAAGCTTGAAATATTGAGAGAATTACCAAAATGTGACACAGAGGTACAAAGCAAACTAACGTTGGAAAAATGGCGCTGATGCAGGGTGGCCACAAACCTTCAATTTGTAAAATAAAAAAAAAAATAAAAAACACACCATGCAATTATATGGGGAGTGCAATAAAGTGATGCATAATAAAGCGAGGTATGCCTGTATTCTACTTCTAAATGAAATGAGTATCTGCTAACAACAAATAATTGAAAGTAGATTCTCAAAAAGATTAGATGAGCTGAGAGTAATATACAAAAATTAGCAATAACATTAATGGGAGAAGCAATAAAGAATTAATATTCAATGTTATAAATGTAACTTTGTTTTTAAGGATAAAGAAAAAAAACAACCTTCCCTGGGTGAAGTCCAACCCACTAAGAATTTGGTGAGAATAATTGTATAATTTTCTTTCTTTATCAGTTTTTTATTTAACTTAATTTCTTAATGTTTCTCTCTGAATTTTCTTTTTTATAGTTGGTTTTGAAAATATTTTATAATGTTATTAAAAGTAGCAAGAAGGTACTTCTTTGAAATTGCATCCATTTAAACTGTTTTTTCTTTTTAAAACACTATTTTATTTTACTTTATATCATTTATTTATTTTATTGGGTTGACATTGGTCAACATGAACATATAGGTTTCATGGTTTCATGTGTAGGGTTCTATGTTACAAAATTTGAATATGGCACCATGTGCCCACCATCCAAACCACTATTTTAAAATAAAAGAAGCTAGGGGAAATATCAGAGCATTGATTTTTTTAGAAAGCAACAAAATTGAAACCACTAGGTAATAGACAAAACATGAATAAACTATATAGGAGAAAGTAAACTAGAAAACAAGCATATGAAGAAAAAAAGCCATCCTTATTCCTTAGTAAAGAAATAAAAATTTAACATGAGAACCTATTTTATACCTATTTTATTAGTACAGAGTATACAATATATACTATGGGTATATGTGAATATTCTACATTTATAGATCATCTTTATATTACTTATCCTATATAATAAAAGGCTAATATAGAAATAGACCAAACAGTGGAATGACCGGTCGCTATGACGCGCACTGACCACCAGGGGGCAGACGTTCAATACAGGAGCTGCACCCTGGTGGTCAGTGCACTCCCATAGGGGGAGCACCACTCAGCCAGAAGCCAGGCTGACGGCTGGTGAGCACAGCAGCGGTGGCGGGAGCCTCTCCTGTCTCCATGGCGGACAGACATTCCCCCAAGGGGTCCCGGAATGTGAGAGGGCGCAGGCCAGGCTGAGGGAACCCCCCTCCAGTGCACGAATGTCAAGCACCGGGCCTCTAGTATTAAATATTTATACTAACAGATACTATTGCACAAAATTATATAGCAATATAAAAATAAATATGAATGAAAAACTCAGGATAATGAAATTTGATTAAACGTTAAATTGATATCAATATTAATTAGGAAAGGACATGTAAAAATGGATGCACCTGGTTCATAAGAGTGATGGGTTCTCCTTTCATATTTCCATTATTGTTAAAATGTCATTTGAGCAATAGATACATGGGAACATGAAAATCCCTTGCTCCTTTTAGAGAAGGGGGCTAGCTTGCTTACCTGGAACTCAGGAAGCCTAGGAATCCCACTTGAACTTGCAGAGTTGAAATGAACACACGAGCAATTTAAACACACTGAGGGCTTCTGGGTAAGAATACATAGGTGGTGGGCACGCAATGCATCATAGAAACATACACTTGAAACCTACATAATCTTATTAACCAATGTCTACCCCAATAAATGTAATTTTAAAAAAAGAAAGGACATGAGAACCACACCAGACAAGAAAAACTGGGAAAGATATAGGAGGGAGATACCATCTGTGTTCTTATGATTACAGAAATAAAATGGTTCTTCACTTTTGTCTTTTTAATGAATGTTCACTCTTGGTCTCTGAAGAAAAGTCATGAAATCCTCACATCCATGTATTTCACATCTGCTTGGTCACATAAACTCAAACATGTACTCTTTAAATATATCCTGGGACCCTCACTAAAAAATCTATGAGAAATTCTCCTTCATAATTATCTTTGATATCTGTTGTCTAATATTTTTAATGGATCTTTCAAGGCTGTGTGTTAATGTTATTCAACACACACCTAAAACAGACCCGAATCTGTGCCTTAACTAAAAATAGAACAACTGAACTCAAGACCCAGTCATTATACTTACTTGACATGTGACCATAGGGGCTTATTTACCCTCCTTGCGGCTGTTCCCTCATCTGTGAAAGGAGGCAAAATCAGCAATTTCATAGAGTCAAGTAGATACAATGAAATAATGTGAAGCACAACATCTGACCTATAAAATACCCAATGACTGGTTGTAATCTCAGGGAGGTTCCCTGCCCTGTCCCAGCCCCACTTCCAGGGGCTCATGGGAGTGTCAGGTATCAACAAAGCTGCTCCCTGCTCGTCTCTTCCATGGGAGGTACCTCTTTCTCCGCCTTCCGGAGGCTGTACAGGAAACTAGGATTTTCATCAACAAATGAGAGTTAGCTCATGAGGCAGGTGCAGACCAATGGTTGGGGTGGACCTTGGGGCACATGCTCACTCAGGTAGATCCTTAGTCATCATCTTTGCTAAAATACGCTGCCTGTTTTCAGTGCTAACTATTCCTTCCACACAAAATATGTTCTCCTGTATTACAATACCTAATTGAGTAATTTACAAGTATCTTTCTCACAAAAGTTTAAATAGCATTCTTGTCCTACTGTTGTAGCCACCAGGCATCGCTCTTTAATGAATTCTAAATCTTAAACCACAACAACCTTGAATTTCTACATATCATCCCAACTAGAGTTAGAAATCACAGGTTTAAAGTACGATGCAAGATTCTCCTTTCCCATGACACAGAATTTTCAGTAGAACCTAAGATGGTGGAAATTAAAGATTGAATATTTGAAAACATGTATTTGTATAAAAATGTGAACTTAAAACTTTTTTTTGCATATTTCTGTAGGAAGAGAAAAAATCTTCAAAGGGACAGAAAAAACAGGATGAAATGTGTTTCCTAATGATACTACTAGAAAAGATAAAAACTTGCTGGAATAAAATTTTGAGCGGCACTAAAGAACATTGAAACGTATGGCGTGACAATATAAAGACGTGAACTTTAGTTGCATCCCTCAAGAATTGATCTGCTCGTGCAATTTTCCGGGGTAGAACGCCTCCCAGAAATTACTGAATGCACCTGGTAAAAATGGGTTAGAGCAATTGAGAAATACATGCTGTGGTACTAGAAGGACACGAACAATGGAACCGAACGCTGCAGTCAACGGACTATTTCCTATGTGTGTGCACATGCGTCCGCTGGTGTTAATTTGGGGCTGATTTTTGTAAGACGATCCATATAAGGCAGTGATGTCAGAGGTGACACGCGAACTCATTTTTTTGGTTGATTTTTCTTTGTTAAATGGCATTTAAATATATAAAATAAATATCAAAAATATAAGTCTTTGTTTTACTATGGTTACAAATATTAAAAAATTTCTATATGTGACACGGCACCAGAGTTAAGTTAGAGTTTTTCAAAATGCCTAGCTCAAAAGGTTCGCCATCACTGATGTAAGGTATTAGCTGCAATAATCCTTTTTAGACCTGTTAAAAATGTTCAGGAGACATGTAAAATCTGTGGTGTATATAAAGGTTACAAGGATTAAAAATTAGCTTTGCTTTATTTCTTTATGGCCTACTATGCATCAGTATAATGCAATGAGTGTGGATATTGTCATCTTCTGGCAGAGTTGACAGTGAGGTATGGACAATGCCCAAGCGAACAAGTCATGTATCTTAAAGCAGAAACGTAAAGGAGTCCAAGATGCTTTAAGAGGAGTGTGACTGTGTAGCACATTGCCTCCAGTAGATGGCATAGAAAATGTCCTAAAATGAAAACAAAGAATAATTTCACAAAATAGGAAGTCACCTGTTTTAAGGCTGCTAAGCCATAGTACCGAGTTTCTTCTGTCATTTACGTGTAATAAAACTTGTCTGAATGAGTTTGCAATTTGGGAAGTATATTTTTAAGAGAATAATATATGTTGCCTTTTAATTAATGGAGTGTGTATATTTAATTTTGACACTATATCTGTATATAAAAATATTTTCATACAGTATTACGAACAAATTACTTGCTTTGGATAACATTTCTCCTTTGATAATAAATGACCTATGTATTAACACTGTCAGATTCACTTAATCTCAACAGAACTTTTTTCCCAGTTTTATTGGGAAATATTTGACATGCATCACTGTATATGTTTAAGGTATCCGATATGATGGTTTGTTTTACATATATTGTGAAATGATTAACACGATAAGTTCAGCTAACATCCATAGTCTCATATAATAAAAAGAAAAGAAAGAAAAAAACTGTTTTCTCTTTATTTTGAGAACTTATAGGACTTACTCTTAACAATTTTCCTGTGTTGCGTACAGCAATGTTAGCTATAGTCATCACGTTGTACATCCTTGGGATTTAGTTATCTTATAACTGGACCTTTGTACCTTTTGACCACCTGCCTCCAGCATCTCCCTCCCCCTATCCTCTGTGTCTGGTGTCTTTTTTTTTAAGTACATTTTTATTGATTTCAGAGAGGAAGGGAGAGGGAGAGAGAGAGATAGAAACATCAGTGATGAGAGAATCATTGATCGGCTGACTCCTGCACTGGGGATCAAGTCCACAGCCCAGGCATGTGCCCTTGACCGGAATCGAACAGGGGACCCTTTAGTCCACAGGCCGACACTCTATCCACTGAGCCAAGTCGGCTAGGGCTGTGTCTGGTGTCTTTTAATACAAGCTTTTATGTTTAGGTTCCACATGTGAGATCATACAATATTTGTCTTTCTCTGTCTGACTTATTTTATTTAACATAATGTCTTCAAAGTCCATCCATGTTGCCACAAATGGTAGGATTTCCTCATTTTTATGGCTGAATAATTCATCCACTAAAAGACACTTAGATTTTTCCCATGCCTTGGCTATTGTGAACATTGCTGCTATGAATATGGAGGTACAGTTATCATTTTGAGTTAGCGGTTTGGATATATTCCTGGAAGAGGAATTTCTGGATCATATGGTAGTGCTGTTTTTAATTTTTTAAGCTCTTCCATACTGTTTTTCATAGTGGCTGGACCGATTTACAGTCCCACCAACCGGGCACGTGGGGTACCTTTTCTCCACCTCCTCACAGGCATCTGTTACCTCTTGTCTGTTTTATGATGGCCATTCTAACAGGCACCAGGTGATATCTCATTGTGATTTAAATTTGCATTTCCCTAATGACTAGTGAGCCAACAGGATTTTTTTAAGGCGAGATTTTTAATATTGCCCTACTATTTGGTCTCTTTCACTGAACACATAACCTTTAATACCTTATTACCAAGAACGTACACGGGGCCAATGATAATACTATTAAACGGGTTCTGCTAAACATTTTCCCATACTTCCAATTATTCCATCAAGAAGTATATATCTTATAAATAAAACTAGAGGCCCAGTGCACAACATTTGTACACTTGGGGGGAAGGGGTCCCTCAGCCCAGCCTGTGCCCTCTCACAGTCCAGGACCCCTCGGGGGATGTCTGACTGACAGCTTAGTCGGACATCCTTAGCACTGCCGCAGAGGCAGGAGAGGCTTCCACCACCACCGCTGCGCTCACCAGCCATGAGCCTGGCTTCTGGCTGAGTGGTGGGGAGCACACTGACCACCAGGGGGCAGCTCCTGTGTTGAGCATCTGCCCCCTGGTGGTCAGTGTGCATCATAGGGACGGGTCATTCTGCCATTCGGTCAATTTGCATATTAAAGTTGTATTATATAGGATTACTAGGTTATGAAGCATGAATATTTTTAAAGCTTTTATATTAAAGTAAATTTAGTCAACTTTTTAAAATGTATTATCAATTTCTATTTCTGTCAGCATATAAGGTCTTTCATCTTCATGCCCTGTGGCAGTTTTCAGTTTCTTTATAAGACTGCTGGTTTGATGAATAAAATCAGCACTTTTCTGTGGAGTACACTCAGCACTCCTGGCAACCTCCTATTCCCAGCCTCATTGCTGCAAATTCACAATAGGATGGAAAGTGAGGTGCTTGGGCAAATAGAGAAAAGGGAAGGGAAAAGGGAAGGGTTATGTGAGATAGAGTGAACTGATGTGCCATCGGTAACTTTTATGCAAAGGCACTTTTTCTGAGTCACCAGGACACTGGAAGTCAACCGCGTTTTGCAGCTCTCGTGGACCCACCACACACGCATCCTTTCCACGGCCACTTGCCTTTCCCTCCGAAGGTGGTTAGTACAGCTCTCGCTCACAGCCCTCCGGTCTCCTCCCAAGCAGTGGGACAGGGAAGAAAAACAGAAAATGGAATGGTCGGCTGTCTAACTTGTGATAAGAAAGCTGCATTTTCAACACTTCTGCAATATTTCGTTCTTGCTTTTACAATATAGAAAATTCTATGAAAATAAATCCTTGTTTGTCCCAAGTTGTAGTTGTCTGTATATCTATCAACTTCTCCAAATAAATGATCAACTTTAGGACAGAAATTAATCACATCTTATTTCTCTTAATACTTCATAGAAGGAAGACCATATATAACATATTTTAAGTGTATATGAAGCTTTAGTTTTGTGCATGTTACGTTAGGCTAAGCGTTTTTACCTCCTATTTAAATTGATGTCACTGTCACATGTTAAAGTTTGGCCAGATGATTGGAAAAAAGGCCTTATTTTAAAGATTTTAAGTGCTGTACAACTAACATAAAATATTAAAGTAATAGAACAAGGAATATTTGGTAATGTGCATGAGTAATACATTAGAGATATAAAATTGCTAACAAAATTTAAGGTAAATATTAAATACTTCTATCAATTATAAGCACGCTGGTGCCCAAAATGAGCTAGACTAGGTTTCTAAGAAATCAACAGATGGGTTATGAAATCCAAAAACCTCTCTCTTACAAATCTCTGTAATTCCATGCTCCCCATCCCCACTCAGATATTCATGCCTATGTTGCTGAGGAGCTTTTAAAATAATGGAGGGCTGGTAAGATTAGCCTAAAGCACCCCCTAGTGGCAAAATAAAAACCAATCCACATACAGTTTTACAGCCAAGCAAAACTATGTAATCAATGAGTATCGACAGTAACATTTAACTGAAAAAAAAAAAAAAGTTGTGAGACTAAAAATGGGTGTGGCTATCATTAACTCCGTTTTAATGACTGTCCACTGCCCTAATAAATAATGCAGACAGTTGGAAAATCAGCCTATCTTCTATCTCAGTACTAAAAATATACCTAACCATATAAAATACCTACACCTGCAATGCAAATAGACAGGAGTTCTGTCATATTTTTCATTCCCTGAGCCTCTCTACTCATGGTAACAATATCCACTTCTAGCCTACAGAAAACTGAGTACAAATTAAACATGTCTAATCTGATGTTTTCACTGGAGGTAACTCCTGTTATAATTTTAAGCATGATGGTCTAAATTACTTAGACTCTAAGTAAGTATTCATCACAGATGAATACGTTTGCCATTCAATTGTGTGTTACCTAATTAGAAATACTCAATGTGTTTTAACCTGGACTTCACTAAATGTTTTCAATTGCTAGATTTTATTGGCTACGAAGAGAATGTTTCAATGCCTTAATCTGTGACAAACCTTTAAGGTCAAAAACACTTCAATAAAATAGTAATAATTTCTTTGACAGCTGATGGCACACAAAAATCTGCTCATTTTTAAAACTCTGCATTTTGACTTCAAAGATTTTCTTTGTTTCTTTGTCTTCCTATCTTTCTACCTATGTCTGGCTAAAAGATAAGACATCAATGAAAACCAACTAGCAATTTTTTTGCTTCATGTCTTTATTGAATAGGTGCAAAAATGAAAACTTATTTGTAATAAAACCCATAGAATGAACAGGAGACAACAGCAATTATAATAATCTTATTTTTCAAGCTAATAACTTTAAAAATAATGTGTAAGAAATTTTTATGTTTTAATTTAAGCTTACAATCTTTTAAATTCTACCACACTGGCAAATGCTTGTGAAAATAAATAAAAATAAATGATGCATAGATCTAGGAAAATTTCTTAAAAACCAAACTAATGCATGACAAATCAATGTGAAAATGATATATGCAAGTAATATAAAAATGTATTTAAATATTGTCATAACATGTTTCATAATTCATGAAACTCTTTTGACCAACATAACTGAATAAAGACAACCAGAAATAAATTAATAAAAATTCAGGGTTAAAACTCTAATGTAAGTAAAATGACAATTCCCATTACATTAAGTTTATACCCCCTGCCTGAATGAAAAGAACAACTTATGAATAAAATTATAAAGTATAAGCATAAATAAATTTCAGGAAACTGTATAAGCCACGAATTTCTACATTGATCCTT